CCTACCCAACATTCCGTCCCTCCTCTCTCTCTCTCTCTCTCTCTCTCTCTCTCTCTCTCTCTCTCTCTCTCTCTCTCTCTCTCTCTCTCTCTCTCTCTCTCTCTCTCTCTCTCGAATGGCCCTCGTATTAAATAAGGGGTGATACAGAGGAAGATGCAAAACACATGCCAAACAGCCAAACAAAACTTCCAACCAAACGAGCAAACACACCTCTAACCTACTCCGCCCCACCCCCCTCTGTCCGACCCTACTGGCCGAACGGGGGCTCAATCAGCTGGTGCAGCTGTCCCTCACTAAGAGGGACGATGGGGCCCTGCATGCCGAGCTCGTCCGCTGCCAAGGCCTCGTTGGTCTTGGAGCGGAGGGCATTGGCCTGCGCTCTCTGGAGGCAGACACTCCAGCGCTGGCGGTACTCCGTCAGCAGCTTGGCTGCCTCGTATGAGGTAGGAGCTGCGTTGAATCGCAGCTTGGCCGCCAGCTCCGCGCACTGCCGCAGGTAAGCCATCACCCCCGGGGAAGGATAGCCATACGTCTCGACTGCAAGGGCGTGGAAGCCCACCCACGCGTTCCTTCGCGCATACTTCTCCTCCTTCCTAGCTGTTGCCGCTCTTGCCGCCCACCTTGGAGCCCTACTGCACTCTTCGTCCTGGTGGGACACGGGGTCAGTCACAGTCACGTCGCACAACCACACCTCTCCCGTCAGGGGATGGCGGATGGTGACATCCGCCTTTAGGTTTTCAACGAGAGAGTAGACGTACGTCTCTTTGTGCACTGTGAAGCCCGCCTCTGCCCCGATGTTTGCAATCTCATCTCTAAGGGCATGGTGCGTAGCTGTCCTCCCCTTCCCTTTCTCACAGCGCAGGAGGTGGTTGGGGAGGCGGTCATCAGGGAACGTGGTGCGGTACCGGCAGTTGCAGCGCCTAGGCACGGGGAGGGGGAGGCCTAGGCGGAAGGCGGCTGCAGTAGAGAGTTGCGAGGGGCCCAACCGGAGCGAGGGGATGAGGGGGATCGCCAGCAGCCAGTCCCCTGCTCCCGGGCCTAGCACTGATTGCATCCGCTGCGTGTGGCCAGAGAGGGGGTTGGGGCGCATCTGCCTTGCCTCGTTCATCACTATGATGCGAAAGACGCTCAGAGGACGTTGAGTCCTGCGTCTGGACGCAGCGTCTGGACGCTAGGACGCAAGACGCGCGTCCAGACGCAGGATGCAGATCGAAAAAATTTCGGGCTGCCCCGATTTTTTTTTTCTTCGAGATTACGAATTTCAATCTCGCGATTTCGACGCGAGTGTCGAAATCGCGAAATTCTGACCCCCCATTGCCCAATTCGACATTGAAAAACAGCCCCCCCCCCCAACATTTCATAACCCCCCATGCAACAATTGAATTCCAAATACCTCTCAACCACTTCACATCTAGAAAACCCAACCAAGGTGCCTACCACCAAGCCCATTTAGCAATCCAACCAAGTCATTTCTCATTTCACCCACCCAACCAATTCTCTTTCGAAAACCCTAGAGGTTTTAGCCTACAAGCATAGCTTAGTTCCATTATGGCTTCCTCAAGCAACCCTACGTCATCTAACGCATCTAGGGATGTTCATGCCGAGGACGAGTCCCTGAGGGGTACATGTTGGAGGAGGATGGGGAGAGGGAGGTGGACGAGGACGACATGATGGTCGATGAGTACAAGGACCAGGATGAGAAGGATAGCGAGGAGGACGGGGATGAGTGACTGGTTGCTTGCATGCAGTGCTGTGGTGGTAGTTTAATAGTATGCGTGTTCTTCAGTGATACGATAAACTGTGTATGTGACCTTGGGACATGTGTGTGACAATACATGACTCACCTTAATCTTGAGATTTGGGGGAAAATTTGATGTTGGGGCCAAGTTTGCCTTGAAAGTGTGGAACGTCCCCCCCCCCCCCCCCCCCCTTCATCCCATGCCCTATAACAAGTTTTTTTGCCTGCCCGGGGGTTTATTTTGCTTGCCCGGGACTGCGTCTTTTGGTGCGTCTTTCTGGTCCTGGTGAAGCGTCCTGCGTCCGGACGCATGCGTCCAGGACGCAGGACGCGTCTTTCGCGTCATAGGTTCATCACCCGCAGGAAGCGGCGGGTGTGGACCGCCAGCGCCAGGGACTGCTGCAGCTTCAGGCCCTTCGGCTCCGCTCTCCCTGCCTGGAGGGCCTCAAGTGCCTCGGGGGGGAGTGCCGCTTCGGCGGCTGCGAGGTGTGCTGGCAGGGCGTGGGTGGAACCGTGGGCAGAGTCCAGGAGGGGGAGGAGCTCAGGCACCGCTGGGTGCAACGCATCAGTCAGGGAGTTCAGGAGGTGGGCCGTGCTAATCACCGACGCGAGGTACGCGTAGCTCCCTTCCACGGCGGGGTCGGTGATGCCAAGCCCACCCAGAGTGACAGGCAGCGCCGCCTGCCGCCAGATCCGCCGTCTCTCTCTGTTACTCCTCGGGGCCATGATGTGGGCAGAGTCCAAAAAGGTAAGTAATAACTGCTCCCCCCACGCCGACCATTCCGTCTCTGGGAGCACCTCCAGGGGGGTTGTCCTTGCTAGGAAGGAGGCGCGGCGGCTGACGCAGCGGGTAAGGAGGAGGAGGCTGAGTTGGGGGTCCATTTGGGCGAGGAGGGGCAATGGTTTCGCTGCTGCTGCAAGCCTCCCTCTCACCGCGCTTGCGCAGCCCTGGGTAGAGCCGATGGGGCTGCCAAGGACCTGAAGCCCCTCCTTCGAGATGGTGATGCCTGGGGGTGCAGTGGAAGGGTCAACCGCCGAGGCTGACCAGACCGCGCACTTGGAAGGGTTGTGAACCAGTCCAAGTGTAGCCAACGCCGACGTGGGGTGGTTGAAGGCCGTCGTGCAGGCAGGGGCCTCACCGAGGAGGGTGATGTCGTCCGCGTAGGCGAGCAGGACCACCTGTGGGTGCGCCGCTGCCATGTTCGAGAGGCACGGGTGGATGCTTGCCGCGAACAGGAGCGGACCGAGCGGATCCCCTTGGCGCACTCCTCTGGCGCTCTGCAGCAGGGCTGCGCCAAAGTCGTGATCGAGGTATAGCGATGAAGGGGTGCCGTACGAGAGGCGGACCAAGGGGATGAGGTTCTCCAGAGCCCTGTTCCTTAGGCCCTCGAATACTGCTCTGCGCTCCACAGCGTTAAAAGCGTTCGCGAGGTCTATCTGCAGCGCCACTGCTTCTGGGTGGACTTCCAAGTACGTGCGCGCCGTGTGGATTGCTGCTTCGATTCCCCCCGCTATTGCTACTCCGAACTGCAAGGGGGCAAAGTGACCTCATGCGGCTGGAGCTGTCAAGAAAAGGGCCGCTTTAGCAATGATGCGGAGGAGGCACTCCCCCACTGCAATCGGCCTCGTTCCGCCTTGGGGTTTCGTGAAGGCCAGGAGGCGGGAAGCCGTGAGGAGCTTTGCTGCAACGCTGCATAGTTTCCCTGCCAGCGCCGTGTTGGTGAGGGCCAACCGGTGAGTGGTTCCCTAGTGCCACGTCTCTGATGTGCTCAAAGGTGGTGCCTAAAGGGCCCGCACCAACTCCGTTAGGGAGTTTCCCGATAAGCCGCCTGAAGTCGCGAGGCTCTATAGCGGGTGGGTTTTCGGTGGTGTAGGCGTGCGACCACTCAAGTAAGTTCAGCTGGGCAGGTGGGTGCCTTGTCGTGAGCGCCTCTAGCACTTCAGGTGACGCAGGTGAAACAGGCGTGGCTTGTAGGGACTGGAAGGATTTGGACAGATTCCCTCGCTTCGCTAGTCCTTCTGCTCTAGCGAGTATCCCTGTTGTGTCAGGAGCGTGGCGAGGTTGGGGAGGGAGGGAGATTGCTTGGACTGCCTCTTCGTACAGGCCGGCCCAGAGCCCTAGGCGAAATCTGACGAGGCGGCACATCATCGCCTTCCAATCGGGCTTTCGCGAAGACGAGGTGCGTAGTAGAATTCGCGGGAGAAATGTCAGCAGTTTCTAGGCTGGCGCGGACTTCGGATTGGCTGCGAGGTGGAGCAGTGGTGTTAACAGACAGACTGCGAAGGACTCGCGATGGACCTTAGGTGGGTGGTGGGCGAGGGTTGGTTGGCGAATGTCGCGTAGGGGGTCGAGGTCCCAGTTGGCGACCAGGGCGAAGAGGTCAGCGCGTTTCGCTAGGTCGTCTGGTTTTAGCATTGGAAGGGGGGGGTTTTGCCCTGCAGGTAGTCCATTGGTTGTTGCAGAGTTGACTCCGTCCCCTATGGCGGCTCGGTTTCCCCCCCTCGGGCCGATTCCACCTGCGGCTCGATTTCCCCTCCCAATGTTGATTCCCCCCGCGGCTCCATTCCGTGCAGAGCCTTGGTTTCCTTGTGCTCTTTCATCCCGCTGGTTCGGAAATTCCGCACCGTTCTGGAGGAGCTCTTCGTCCTCGTCGGCACCAGGCTCCAAATTCCCCTCCCTTTCAGGGTTAAAGGCGGGGTCACCCGCTTCACTTTCCTCACTCTCTCCTTCCGAGTTTTCTTCGTCGTCTGTAACCTCCTCCCTGCCTTCCACTCCCTCCAAGATTAGTCTCTCAGCTGTTCGTGCATAGCCGCTTGCCCCAATCCGTCCTGCTCTGCCTCCTCGTCGGCCTCGCCTATTCCCCCGACGTCCGCGGCGGCCGCCGCCGCGACCCACGCGGAATCCCCGCGTTCCTCTTCCTGCGGTTGCTCTCGTCTGCCTCGTTTGAGGAGCATCGGCGGCGTCAGCCTCTCCTTGACGGCGCGCTGGCGTCGGCGGCTGTGGTATCTGCGGTAATGGATCCCACCGCGACTCGTGATCCAGCACTGGAGGGTACGGCGGAGAGCGCGCAGCCAGAGCGGGAACCTGCCGCACCTCGTCCGCGTCCCTCCGCACGCCCCTCCGCAAGTGAGCCCGTCCGCCGCTTCGAGCGTGGGCCGTCCCTCCCTCTTCGGGATGTTCCTCGGCCCCTCTCGTCGGAGTATTCGTGGGCACCTGCGCGGGTTGCATAGAACCGTCCCGCAGGTCAGCCTCGTCAGGAGCATGGGCGTTCGCCACCGCGTTAGCCACCGCGGCAGCCATTGCCTCGCCGTCGCTCCCCAGAGGATCGCGAAGATCACCACCATGGGGCTGGTGGACAACTGTCTTCAGCGGGTCAACGCTCTCCTCGTCACCAATCCCCCCGTGGTCGGGGAGCCCAGCGCTCACCGCAAGCGCGATCCCCCGCTCAGCACTCTCTGCGGCGATCTCCGGCGAGGCGGGGGAGGGGGAGGGGGTCTCCTGGACGTCGCTGGGATTCGGGACGTCGCGAGCAGTCCCCTCCGCGTCCGAACTCGGCTGGTTCCGAAGGCTGACGGGGCCGGCGGAATGGCGGGGGGCGATGCGGTACTGGTCGCCAGCAGGATCCTGCCCTCGATCGCGCCGCGAATACGTTTGTGGAAGTGGTGCAGCAGGCCCGGGCGAGTGGGGAGCCGACTCACGTCCATATCGAGGTGACCAACGGACCTCCCTTCACCGCGGACCCCGGCCAGGTGGCTCCTCTGCGCGCGTCGACGCTGCGCGAGTATCTGCCCGCGCGGGGGGGGGGGGGGGGGGGGGGGGGCTCAGTTCCGCACTCCTCGTCAGGTCCCAGGCTTCTCCGCGCCGCGCTTAACTGTTGGCTGGATTCCTGGATGGCCAACGGCGTTTCCGCGCGAAGCGTCGATTGCACATCCCCCCAGTCACGCGTGGAGAGACCCCATGCTGACCATGTGCAGGATTCTGAATGTGGCGGAGGCGTGCGAGGTGGTGGCGAACTTGCAGCTGGCGGTGTGTGCGGCCACTCAAAACTTTCCGAGCAGTTACGGTCCAGGGTCCCGAGGATCCTGCGTGACTTTGGCAGAATCGCTCGAGTCGCCGTTGGCACTCGTGTCGGAAGCGCCCGCCGGGGTAGCTCCCTTAGCGCGTACCTTCCCGCGCCACGTGGGGGATCTTGCAGAGGCTGCTCGAGTTGGGACCCCCGTGAGCACACTTCAGTCGTAGGCGCATCTCCTCCTTGCAATGTCGGCGTGCATGCGCTCGATGCTGGAGATGGAGGGGGCAGAGCCATTCACGATGTAGGCTTCCGCCGCTTGTAGAATTGCATGCCGCGCCTCTTGCTGTTGCCTTGCTCCTTTGCTTTGGTGTGTGTGTGTGCCCTTTATGAGCCGAACCCACGTTTTGTGTCTTGCCACCAGGAGTGCGCGGCCGAAGGCCGCCGGCGCGAGCCGACGAAAATGAAACACCCACGCAATAATGAGGCAGGGAAGGCACAGAGGGCCCCTTAAATAGGCTCAGAGGGAGAGGGCATAGGGAAGAGGGAGAGGGCTGAATGCTAAGGCCTTCTCTCTCTCTCTCTCTCTCTCTCTCTCTCTCTCTCTCTCTCTCTCTCTCTCTCTCTCTCTCTCTCTCTCTCTCTCTCTCTCTTTAATGGCCCTTTCATTGATAGTCAAATCGTACTGACATGCAAGGTATAAGTCAACGTAAAGGTGGGGCTAGTACTGCCTATACTTCCTATTCTCTCATCCTGCTCTGCACCCTCTAGATGAGATCCAGTGTTGGATCAAGAACCGCAAGGCAGTCCCCAAGGGACGGGGCCTCACCCACTGCTTCTAGTAGTGGGTTTTTAACTGCTGCTGCTATGCTGCACTTTTCCAGGTACCCAATCGACTGCCCACGTTGAAGAGCCACTGACCACCGCTGCCGGTATTGGTGTAAGAGCTTGGCAGCTTGGTAGGAGGTGGGCTCGGCATTGAAAAACCGCCGTGCAGCCGTTTCTGCGAGTAGTTTCAGGAAGTCTACTGACTATGGGCAGAGACACCCGTATGTCTCGACCGCTAGTGGGAAAAACTTCACCCACTCTGGGCGGTCCTTGTAAAGACCATGTTTCTTATCTGCTGCCTCCCGTGCCGCCCACCCCCTCCCCTTGGTGGCATTCTCATCGCGGGTGCTAATGGGGTCCGTTATCGTCACATCGCAGATGTAGACGGCGCCAGTGGAGCGGCAGCGTAAGGCCAGGTCTGCCTTCTTCTCCTCCACTGGGCTGAAGGCGGCCGTCTCGATGTGCACCATGAAGCCTGCATCTTGCACCATCCGCGCGCACTCATCTCTGAGTTCATTGTATATGTTTGTGCGCCCCCCCCCTGTTCCGCATCGTAGCAGGTGATTCGGGAGCCGCTTATCCGGGATCTACACCTTCTTGGAGCAGCTGCAAACCCCAGGAGCCGCAAAGGGGAGCCCCAGCCGAAACTGGAGCGCGTTGACATAGTGGGGAGCCTCAAGGCGGAGCGAGGAGTGGATGGGCTCTGCGTTTAACCAATCCCCCGCCCCATACCCTGACAGGGACAGCATCCGCTGCGTGTGACCGTTGGTGGGGTTCGTGCTCATCCCCCGCACCTCCTCCACCTGCACAGCATAGCGCTGGCCCTGGATAGCTGTGGCTAGCCCGTGCTGTAGTTTCCCTGCAGTTGGAGCCGATTTCTCAGCCTGAAGAGCTTCTTGGGCTGGAAGTGGCAGTTCCCCTTCACATTCCGCAAGCCATTCAGACAAGGGGGAGGACTCGGTGTAGGGGCCATGCATCAGCTCACGCGTGATTTCCAGTGGGCCGGTGCACTCGCTGTCCAGGGAGTCAAGCAGCAGCTGCGCCTGCGTGTAGCTGGCGAGGAAGCTGTAGCTTCCCTCTACTGATGGGTCCGTAAACCCAAGGCCACCGAGCGACACGGGGAGTGAGGTTTGCGCCCACGTGCGTGAAATCTCCTCGTCCCCACGAGGGTGATTGATGGCGCATGCTGTTAGTAGTGTTTCCAGCAGCCTCCGTCCCCACTCAGACCACTCCTCCTTTGGCAGGAAAGGCAGTGGGGTTGTGCGGGCTAGGTATGACACTCGGCGGGAGATACACCGGGAAAGCAGCAGTCCCGCCAGCTGTGGCTCCATCCGCTCAATCAATCCCAGCGGTGCGCCCATCGCCTCCAGGCTGGACCGTATGAAGCCAGTGGTTGCCGTGGAGGTGCCAATGTAGCTGCCCAGCACCTTCAATCCGTCACTGCTGGGAGGGACCCCCTCTGGCAGGCAGTAGTCCGTGGGCGTCCTGCCTGCCCAAGCCCCGCACCAGGATTGTGGCTGAGCCCGATTTCTGCCAAGCGGCCCGTGAAGTGTGTAAAAGCAGCTGCACATGACGACGGTTCTCCCAGGAAGGTCACGTCGTCCGCGTAGGCCAGGCAGATGACCTCGGGGTGAGCCTCCGCTGCTGCTCTCAAAGTTGTTTGCATGGCCGCGGCAAAAAGAAGGGGGCCGAGGGGATCTCCCTGGCGGACCCCTGTTTCACTGAGCAGGGGTGGGTGGGCGAAGGCTGCATCCAGATGCAGCGTGGAGGGTTGGCCGTGCGAGAAATGCACCAACGGCAGCAGCGGTTCTAGCTGCGATCCTTTCAAGGCCGTCGCTATGGCGTGGCGGCTGACACTATTGAACGCATTGGCCAGGTCGGCCTGTAACACCAGGGCGTCCTGGTTGGCCGCTGTGTAGGTCCGGACAACATGTATGACTGCTTCTGCTCCTCCTGGCACGGCTACTCTGAACTGTAAAGGTAAGAAATACTCTCGTGCTGTGTCCGCTACCTGAGTAAGTGCTGCCTTGGCTGCTAAACGCAGGATGCACTCCCCTATGGCAATCGGTCTCGTTCCTCCATCCGGCTTGTCGAGGGCCATCAAGTGCGAGGCTGTAAGAAGCTTCCCTACTTCCTGGTGCAGCTTCACACACAGGATTGTGTTAACCAATGCATGTAGGTGAGAACCGACCGTGGGGTGTATCAAGGCAGCTTCGCGCAGGTGCTCGAATGTTGTCCCTGAGGGACCTGCACCTACCCCATTTTCACATTTCGAGAGGAGCTTCAGGAAAATTTCCCGTGATACTGCCAGGTAAGTGTCTGGGCCGGGCTGGGGCCAGGATGCGTCGGAGTGCGGGGCACTAGGGTGCTTGGCGCGGAGGGATTCTAAAACCGCAGGTGAGGGCTTGCTGACTGGGGTGGCTTCCAGTGCCATGACTGCTCTCCGTAAGCTGCCACGTCGCGCCAAACCCTCTGCCCTGGATGTTATCCCCAGGTCGTCTGGCTGGTGTCTGGGAGGGGGAGGGGAATCCAACGAATCGACTGTCTCCTGGTACAGTGCCTCCCATTCCCCTCGCAGGAATTTACGCAATCTTTCCCTGGTCGCCTTCCAGTCAGGGTGCCTCGGCGAATGCTGACGCAGCGTCAGGCGAGCCGCAAACAGCAGAATCGTCCAGGCAGGGATGGATTCTAGGTCGTGTGCTAGTCGTAGCAGTGGTGTCAGCATTACCATAGCGAAAAGGAGGCGCAGTTTTTCCGGCAGGCGACGTGCCATCGGAGCGTTGCGACTATCGCGCAGCTTATCCAGATTCCAGGTCCCGATATTCGCGAATAGTGTGTCGTCCCTGGCGAGGGCTCCGGGCGACTTTTGGGGAGGGGGTTGTAGTTGCTATTGGTTACCCCTCGCTGCTGTTCGCGGTACATTTGCAGGTGGCGATGTCAGGTTTGGTTGGGCGGGATGGTTGGCAGTGGTGGCAGGGCGGCGGGAAGCGGTTTGAATTTGTGGTGAGGGTCGCGGCTGGGTGGGTGTGTTTGTGAAATTTGTTGACGCGCCTCAGGCATGGGTTGGGCCGATTCTCCCCCGAGCTGGAGTTTGTCACTGGGCCTCCTCCGAGGCATTCGAATTTGAAGGTGAGTCTGCTTCTTCCTCCTCCGCCGCATAAATGCTACCCGATAATTCGCCATCTTCATTAGTTCTAACTAAATCGTTCAAAGCCCTTCTTGCTGCTGCCAGGAACGCATTCTCCGGACCTCCTTCCCGAGTGCCCCTGCCACGTCCGCGACCTCCGCCTCGACCCCCTCGTGTCCGCGCGCTGGCCGCGGCTGACGAGAAGTGAGAATGGATGAATGAACAAGGAAACAGTTGGGTACAAGTACTAACCCTAATTGGGTTGTACCCCTTATGGGCTACCCCACTACAGCCTACACAAATGTATAAGCTATAATGTTCTGACACACCCCCATAGGCAAAGTGGGGGAGAACAAGCGGTCACAAGACCAGTCAAGCAAAGCAAAGCAAGCTCAGGGTGGATCACAAAGTCACCACACAGTCCGAGCACAAGAGTCAGGCCACAAGGCCAGTTGAGAAGCAAGAACATATATATAAAGGTAAACAAGCAAGTGCAGGTATAGAAAGAGTACAGTACAAACAAGATCAAGAAGTGAGCAAGTGAGGCCAGGTAGGCACAAGACCTAGCAAAGTACAGAAGCGCTGATGATCACAAGGCGGAAGGGCCTTGGTGAAGATATCAGCAGTGTTGGCCTCAGAGGCCACGTAGGTGAGACAGAGCTGACCACGCTGCTGCAGCTCACGAGCCAGGAAGTAGCGGAGAGCAATGTGCTTCGTTCTGTGCTCCAATCTGTGCTCCCGACACAAGGCCAGCATGGCCTTGTTGTCTACGTACAGAACTGGAGGAGAACGAGGCGGCGCTCCTAGGTTAGTCAGCAGGTAGGTGAGCCAGCGTAGCTCCTGTGCAGCCATGGCCCCAGCGTAGATCTCAGCCTCACAGCTAAAGCTGAGAACAGAAGACGAGCGGGTAGACCGCCACGAAACAGAGCCGGAGCCAAGGCTGAAGGTGTAACCCTGTGACGACCGCTGCAGAGCCTCGTCGTCAGCCCAAGAAGCGTCAGCGTGACCTGTGAGGACTACTCGACGTCGCCCTCCAAGCACTAGCCCCATGCCTGACGTACTGCACACGTAGCGCAACACCCTCTTCGCTGCAGCCATGTGCTCTGGTCTGTGTCTCCCAGGAGCAACATAGCGTGCCAAGATGCTAAGAGGGTATGCAAGGTCAGGTCGTGTGCAGGTCATTAGGTACATGAGGCAGCCAACAAGCTCTGGGTACGGGCCACTCGACTCTACGGACTCATCCGAAGGCATGGCTGAGAGCAAGTGGCGAGTAGA